ACAATACTGAGTTGTTAGACCCGTCCCTGTCGCCTCCTTGGTCAGTTGCCTCTATGCTGGGACCCTGTTGAAATATGTGATCCCTTTTTAAGCAGGATCCCATTTCTGATGTCCCATTTGCGGTCAATCTGCTCCCCGGACAGGGCCGTGCTCCCCTCACTGCAGAAGGGTCTTTTATGAGCTCGCCAGTCCTGGGCAGATTATGTGAGTCCTCCTCTCTACTTGAGAGCTAGGTATTTTGCCCCTGGGCTATTGATCGCTTCAGTCGAGCTGGGTTCCTCTCTATTTGCTAAGGGTCGAGCCCTCTGCTCTTTGAGCTCCGTGGCAGTGACATCAGGTAGTTTGGCCGCTTGCTGCCTCCCTGATAAGTTGCCCCTATTTGGTCGAGCCTAGCAGTGCTCCCCTCACCTTGGAGGGTTAACTTTGAGCATGCCGCTCCCAATTGAGCGTCTGAGGCCTTCTCTCATCAAGTCCTCCGCTCTTTGGAGCTCCATTGAGCAGCAGCCTTAGGTTGTTAGGCCTCTCCCTGCCTCCTTGTTAGGCTGCTCTCCTTCTTGGTTGAGCTTAGCAGTGCTCCCCTAACCCTAGAGGGTTACCTGTGAGCACGCCGCTCCCTTCAGGGCGTCTGAGTTTCCTCTCTGCCTGAGATTCGAGTTCTCCACCCCAGAGCTCTGTGAGTCAGCAACACCAGGTTGTTAGGTCTTTTCTGCCTCCCTGATATGTTGCTCTTGTGGTTGAGCTTATAGTGCTCCCCTCACTCTAGAGCAGTGGTTCCCAACCCTGGTCCTGGTGGCACCCCAACACTGCACATTTTGCATGTCTCCTTAATCAAACACACCTGATTCAGGTCATCAGCTCATTAGTAGAGACTCCAAGACCTGTAATTGGTGTGTCAGAGAAAGGAGACATGCAAAATGAGCAGTGTTGGGGTGCCTCCAGGACCAGAGTTGGGAACCACTGCTCTAGAGGGTTATCTATGAGCACACTGCTTCCAAGTCGAGCGTTGGTGTCCTCCTCTCAATCTGAGAGCTGGGTGCTATGCCCCTTCTAGTTATGTATGAGCACATGCTCCGGAGCCTGTTCTGTGCTGCTATGGTTGAGTTGGTGATGCTCCCCTCACATGGGGGGGTTTCTATGAGATACACCTTTTTCAATCCACATGCGCTCTGAGCACGCGGACTCCCGCTGAATTAAGTGACTGCTCCCTTGAGTGTGCCACAGTCACGCAGGGTACCTAGGCCTGTCAAAGTAACAGCCTCGGTTACCCATTAGGAACGGTGTTTCTAGAATCCATATTATGGTAAGTGCACACGCTGAGCTTCTGTGCACTTCCTAAAATCCACACTGTGGTAAGTGTGCACGCTAAACATCCTGCGCACTTTCTAAAATCCTGCATGGTATGGGTTACGCACTATCAGCCTCGTTCCCTTTCTCTGAGGTGGTTTAAGCCCCCCGTTTTCACCTTGTGCCCCACTCGACTTATGTATCCCTGGTGATACATTTCTGAGCAGGGTGTTTGCTAACAACGATCTATCGAGTCAGTTCCTTTGACCAAGCTCATTCAGAGCTGGTGGTAGCTCCCTGGGTGACAGGCCAGGGTCTGGTTTATTGTCCTAGATGCCTGGTCGTATTCCCTTAAAGGAATCTCTTTCTTCTGATTCCAAGCCTTTCGAGCTTTGCCCCGGGTTCAGGCTTTCCAGCCCAGCCCTTAACAGGAAAGTTTTATGGTATGCAGCTCAGGCTTTTGGGCGAAGGGGATAATGTCACTGACAGCCGTCAAGGCATCCTAGGGGCAACTCCCATGGCTTGGTAGAGTTGGCACTTAGTGCTCGGCATGCACTCCCCTCAGCATGGCGGAGTGGGTATACCGTTCCCCATAGGATCCCTAGAGGACGCAGTTCGAAGTTCCCATGAAAGGGTAAAGGAATCTCTTTCTTCTGATTCCAAGCCTTTCGAGCTTTGCCCCGGGTTCAGGCTTTCCAGCCCAGCCCTTAACAGGAAAGTTTTATGGTATGCAGCTCAGGCTTTTGGGCGAAGGGGATAATGTCACTGACAGCCGTCAAGGCATCCTAGGGGCAACTCCCATGGCTTGGTAGAGTTGGCCCTATAGGACTGACAGACTGCAACGGTTTGAGTTAAAAATCTCCATTTGTGTTCTACTGAAGAAACAAAGTCACCTACATCTTGGATGCCCTGGGGGTAAGCAGATAAACATCAAATTTTCATTTTTGGGTGAACTATCCCTTTAAACTACCTTATTATTTCAGTGTAATATCTGCTTAGTTACATGTGTAAATAAGATACATTTTAAACAACTATGGCAAAACGTTTTTGTCAGTGTCTTCCCATTAACAGGTTTTTTCTCTTCTCTCTGTGTGTAGAATTAATGGGGGCTTGTGTACGGACCATCTTCTTCTTTAGGCAGGCCTAAATGCTCTACTTCCGCGTGTGTTTGAATAAAGGGATTTGAAAAGAGCCTTCATTTGTTTGCATTGATGGGTGTTAGAAAGCACTCTAATTTGACAGCTCGAGACACTCTACTGCTCTCAGCACACAGTCAATTATGCTCTTATCTCTGACATTCACAGTCAGTCCTTTAATACACCTGTCTAAAACACAAAGACAGTTCAAATAGACTAAGCTTTTTAGAGGTAGGAGCAAACACAAGACAGACGCCCTGGTAATGACAAGTACAGGAGTCTCAAAAATGCAGACTGTGATAGATTTAAGTTTTACACAAATATATTTATATGATTCACCAGTTAAAAGCATACTACTCATGCTACATTTAAAAGGAAATATTTTATGCCAATCAGATGTTAATTTTTTTAAATTAACTTTGGAAAGAATTAGTTTCTTGTACTTCTTCAAAGTTAATATTAATTCTACAGTTTGTATTAAGCTGATATCATTCAAATGTGCAAAGGGTAAAAAAATTAAAATGGTTTATAACAATATACAGAGCACTCTGTACTGTAGTAATGGTCATTTTGACCACTAAGGCAATGACTATACTAATAAAAACCATAAGGAAGTATTCTCATTTATTAGATATGTTTAACTGTATTCAGTAGTTGGTATTCTCCTAATTTTCATTTTTGAGAAGACAATTATTTAACTGTGTGTATTAGCCTACTGTTAGTACATGTTGTACATAAGAGAAACAATATATGTTTTTATGAGATAAACAAAAAATTGGGAATGAACACTCACAATATAAGGTATTATGAAAGTGACCTTACTTTTGGGCCTCGGTTAAAATTGTTTTGGTTGTGCTTGCTCTGCTCCTCTGTACACAGATCCACACTTCAAAAATCTACCTGAAATAGTAGACCATACGGGTATTCTGGTATACTCTTCTGGTATATCTTTTCGACTTCTGGTATACTCTTTTCAACATACTATGCTTTGGGATACACTTATTTTAATCTCACAAACTACACTGAACAAAATTATAAACGCAACACTTTTGTTTTTGCCCCCATTTTTCATGAGCTGAACTCAAAGATCTAAGACTTTTTCTATGTACACAAAAGGCCTATTTCTCTCAAATATTGTTCACAGCTCAAATAAATATGCATGTGGATATGGCAAAAAAAAAAATAATATATATATATATATATATATATATATAATAATAATAATCATCTTTCAAAGTAAATGTAACTCCCTACGAATTAATGCAGCCTCCTCATCTGGATTCTGTATAAAAGGACATGCTGTTTTTGTCACTTTCAAAGTGTCTGCATGATGACAATATGTGCAATGAATGTACCTGCACTGCAAAAAATGCTTTTCTTTCTTAGTATTTTTGTCTTGTGTTTTTTTCCAGTCAACATATCTAAAGATTCTTAAATCAAGATGCATTTACTATACATAAGAAAAATGACATAAGGTATTTATTGTTTCCTGGGAGAAATTTGTATTTATTTATTAAGTGCATTTACTAATTTAAGAGATTTTTTTTCTTTTAAGTAAAATGCACTTAATTTAGACTCCAAAATACTCAGAAAAGCATTTTTGCTGCGTGAATGAACGAATGAATGAGGCTATTTAAACATTGCTTACCCTTTAAAAAGGAGTAGACTGAAAGAAATACTTTAAGGGTATAGTCTTTGGTATAAGTTAGGGTTAGGGAAAGTTTCCTCTCTTTCAGAAAGGGGCTTCTGCTTTCTAAGGTTTGACATAGCCTACCTCCCATTCAGTAACGGAAAACCCAGAGTTTCCCTCATTTCAGGGTTAACATATATATATATATATATATATATAGTCTACTTAACCTCCTCTCTGAAACGGGCCTCGGGACTTGTCACAGCACTTACATATTATTGATCTTTTGTTGGTTTGATTGCATCTATTGTTTTCATTTGTAAGTCGCTTGGGATAAAAGCGTCTGCTAAACGACTATGTAAATATTCAAATTCGGCTTGTGAAGATGGAGCGCACCACTACTTGCGTTATGTATAAGTATTATTAAATGAATTATTAAAATGCTTTGGGATGCATCCCAATCTAGCAATATAACGCTCCTGTAGGAGACGCTGTGTCACACTATGTGACTGTCAGTTTTCTACACAATCTCATTCAAGTAGTCACATAAGCAAAAGAACAATTGTCTCAGTCACAATGAGTGCGAGTAAATTCGATACATACATATAATGGTATTTATTTATTCCTGTTTATTTCGTGCATTGTGTAAATAAATAATCAATAATTTTTTTTTTTTGTACATGTCTGAGCTTGACCAGAGCATATTTCTGAATGTCTGTTCGATAGTTTTATAGAAATAGCCGACTTTCTAAAGTAACAACTAACCGCATATGGGTACTTTTTAAATTACAGAGCTCAAAAGCACTGCAAAGCAGGAATAGGCCTACATGTCTTTGTGTCCAGACTGGAGGTGGCACTGGATACTTTACTGGTGTCCGTCTTGTTGTGCCCCTCCTCCAGCTTTACAAGGCAGCGGGACACGCCGCAGGATTCGGCACAAAGTCCGAGTCACTCGCTGCACACATGAGAGGCGTCACAACAAGCCACCAGCGAGCGCGCGGCGGATACGACTTGGAACCCGCCCAAGAAAACTGAGAGAAAACGTGGATTTGACCGAGAAGTAACTATCATATTAAATCTTTACAAGCAGGGCGGTGATCCAAGACAGGTGTCAGAGCGCGTCAGTCATCTGCTAATAATTTGAGCGCTCTTGTATTGTGGTTGCTGCGCGACGACCGACGGCACCGTTCGCGAGCGAGTTTCTGTCCCAAGAACGCCAAATCTCAGTTGAATCACCCACTACTACAGTAACACCAGCTGTTATTCATGCTTCGTTTCCCGAGTCATACTACAAGAGGAAATTGCAACGTAAGTTTGCACAGCTTCTGCTTTGAAGTAGGTTGTAGCTGTAATTAATTTATAGGCACCACGTGAGTGGGATGAAACGACCATTAAGTGGGCACACCCGCTGGATATGATACCTAACACGCTCAGAAACCTCCGCCAGAGCATCGGACCTCTTTGACTCTTGGTACAGCGCCTGGGACTGGCGTTTAAATCGCACTGAATGACTGTAGCACTGGAGGTGGCACTGGACACTTGCTGGTGTCCGTCTTGTTGGGCCCCTCCTCCAGCTTCAGCGGGACACGCCGCAGGACTCAGCACAAAGTCCGAGTCACTCGCTGCACACACGAGGAGCGTCACAACAAGCACCCGGCGACCTGGAACCCGCCCAAGAAAACCGAGAGAAAACGTGGATTTTATCGAGAAAAACTATCGTATTAAATCTTTACAAGCAGGGCGGTGATCCAAGACAGGTGTCGGAGCGTGTCGCAGTCATCTGATAATAATTTGTGCGCTCTTGTATTGTGGTTACAGCGCGACGACCGAGTTTCTGTCCCAAGAAACGCAAATCTCTGTTGCAATAACACTAGCCGTTATTCACGCTTCGTTTACCGAGTCATACCACAAGAGGAAATTGCAGCGTAAGTTTGCACAGCTTCTGCTTTGAAGTAGGTTGTAGCTGTAATTAATTTATAGGCACCACGTGAGTGGGATGAAACGACAATTAAGTGGGCACACCCGCTGGATATGATACCTAACACGCTCAGAAACCTCCGCCAGAGCATCGGACCTCTTTGACTCTTGGTACAGCGCCTGGGACTGGCGTTTAAATCGCACTGAATGACTGTAGCACGGAAGAGCCGTGCGCTTCTGCAGAAAGGACACACAACTAGACGAGACCCCAGAATGATGTTGTTTTTAATCTGAGTGCATTGGACTTTTTGTGTTTTTAGTTGCGGATAGTTATATTTTAACCTGTTTGGTTAAACTTTTGTTGAGTTTTAGCTGTTCTCACTGTTCCCGATGATGAGAATGATGGCAGTATTATGGGATGACCCGTTCAGGTTGCTCTGGAGACGGACTGTAATTTATTCTCTTCTGGTGCTCTCGATGAGTGGAGCGTGCACCTTTGGAGATGAAACCTTTAATGGAGAGGTAATTATTTCAAAAGATCAGTGCAGTGCACATTTTTGTATCACAAATTGATCATATTATAGAATTCATACTATTTAAAGTTAGGTGAGAACATGTTTTGGCCACTACATTTGGGCACCAATTTGATGGCTTTATAATATATATATATATATATATATATATATATAGGGAGAGAGAGATACATTATATTAGTGGGGCTGTTCAACTGTGTATGCATAAATATTTTTGCTTTGATGTTGATTTTAATGCTCTTTCTCTCTATTGAATGTGTTTGATACAAGTGCCATCCATATAGGCTATTTGGTCTATTTCTCATTTAGGTTTAATGCACTGTGCATATTTTTTCTAGAGCAGAGTCTGAGGTCTGGTTTTTATATGACAGCTGATTTAAGCTGAATGCTTGTAACTCAGCATGTGAATGGCGGTGATATCAGGGAGCAAATTAGAAAGTTGTTATTTAGCTTGTAACTAAGATTTTTGAAACACCAAAGTTCTTGCCTCTTCTTGTAGCCCAACTTTGGGATGTTTTTTAGTTTGAAGTGGTAGGAGGTATGAAGAATTTGTAGTCTGTGTGGTTTGAGATTTGTTGTATAACCCATGTATGCAGTGCTGCAGTGGCCCAAACCCTGTCATTGGTGGTCTGGCACTCAGCAAAGAGACTGACAGAAGCCAAAGATCTAAACTCTCTCTCTGAATTGATTAATTTACTCATCAGTTTCACAAATCTGGCAGGGAGCCTCGGTTTGATCCTTTCCGGTATCTGTTGCCTTCTTAATCTTTTACATCAGTCCTGACCCAGATTAACCTGGAATAAAATGAACAATAACTAGATGTGCTCCTCTGAGCTGGATATAACACTGACCACAAAATGGGCAGTTGTAACCTGCAGTTCCCACACACCTGGCTATCACATCGGCTATACTATCGCCCACCAACTTTTGTAATACAGCCAACTTTTGCTGTGATGGCCATGAGAGTTTTTTTCTCACACAACTGAAACACTCTCCTTCCATTATGTTTAACCTCTTAAGACCCGAGAAAAGATTTTTAGGAAAAAAATATTTTTTTTCATGTCTTTACATTGTTTAGAGCATTAAAAAATGTAAAAAAACAAATGATATTTCATTCATAAGTTATGCTATGTCCTCGGTAGAGGACATCGGGACTCAATTTAAAAAAAATAAATAAAAAGACATGAATGAACATGCATAGGCAAAAATAATAGATTTTTTAAATCACCAATAGATTTTTAGTTTTCAGGATTTTTTTTTTTACCAAACTTTGTATAAAGATGATTCTCAACTATGTTATAACAGAAGGGTCCTTAACGTAACTGATGATATTCTTAGTACTAAACGACTTGTCACTAGCTGACTGGTTCACGTTGTATACGCAGCCAATGAGCTTGCTGTTTTACATTTAAATGGCTGATTAGCATTCATTTGAGCATTGCAGCGCGCTTTCAGAGTTCCTCTGAAACCCTCCACCCAGATCTATACCGCCAAGACCAACTACATTAACATTGTTATATCCATTACCATGCTAAAAGCTTCATAGAGTTCTCATGATAGAAATACTTTTATGGTATCAATATGCACGAGGGCTGTGCGATATGACGATATATATCGGATGGACGAAATAAAAAGTATATCGTTTCATATTATGCTCTATCATTTATTTCGTGGTGTCACAAAATACATTGTTTACGGTAATATGTTTTCATCATTTGGATGACTGCGATCTTAGAC